CTTCAACTCACGCATCTTCCTCTAGACCTTGCCCATCTACCAGTGAGCCTCTGGCGCAGCGTTGTTGATCTCCAGGCCTAGGTCGTTGCATAGTGTCTCGAACTCGCCCATGAAGGTAGAGTCCTCGTCCTGCTCAGCAACAGTCGGCGGTCCAGCTCAGGTCAGCCATCCAAACTCGAAAGCTTTCTGGGCCAACTATGCCGTCGGTCTTGATCCAGGACACGCGTAGAGAGCCACTGTGAAGTCCGATGCAATATCCACGACCAAAAGCACAACGTTCATAGTATTGTCCATACCGGGTCTGATCATGAATCCATGCCAACGGTCTCCTTAAAGTCTCTAACCTTGGGCTGACCTGCTGTAGGTCTTGCTGCCGTCCGAGCCTGCTTCTCACACGTTGTGCATCTGAAAGGTCGTGCTGCCTGAACCGCTCGTCGACTAGCTCCGCCGTGCTGTAAGTATCGTACCAATGACTCCTTGTAGGGTCCATGTGAATGGCTCTCGAGTAACTTCTTGATAGCTGCTCGCATAAGTGGTGGTACAGCCGTCCATTACGCCATCTCGATGTTATCGCCGTGCTTGCTGGAGATCGTCGCTGCGCTCGCGTGCATGGGCGCCTCTGCCTCTGCAGGATTGGCCTCGATCTCGTCAGGCTCGATGTCCTCGAAATTGTTGGCGTACCTGGCGTGCCCGCCGTGCTGCTTCTCGATGTCCCGCTGCTTCTCGATGCCGTCCATAATCGCCTTAGCCAGGCTAGCCGTCCAGTTGCCAGGGCTTGATGCTGTTCCCTTCGGCCCGTTGATCACGCTTGTGTGCTCGTGCGTGTTGTCACACTTGATGTTGTTGAGCTTGGCGCCTAGCATGATGGCCGTAGTCAGGAATCGCGTCGGCTGCCTCACGGGGTCGCCCATGAAGTCCACCAGTATGCTGCCATCAGCGCGCTGGTGCGTTATCGCGGCCACAAGCTCTGAGCCTAGCCACGGCATGAGCTACCACGCCATAGATGTTAGCGGGCTCTCCAGTAGCATGCGTGCTCCTCGACGCTTGCAGTTGAACCAGATCTGCTTGACGAACCGCAGGTGCTGCATGCCAGTTGCCAGCTTCAACATCTTCGTCCTCTGCGGAAGCATGTGCGATATGTTCGTGAACGGGCCGCATGGAATACCCGCGATAGTCATGTATGGGGTCGCCCTCGTCCAGCTGCTTCAGCACTCTCCGCTGTGACTTAATGTCCCCCCATCAGGATGTCCCTATCAGGGTCCTCTCAGGTCGTCCCCTGTCAGGATGTCCCTAGGTCTCGTGGTAGGGTGCCGCCGCTGCTGAGCTTCCGATGTGGCTGCCATGCCGCCAGCATAGAGCTCGCGTATGATAGGCCGCTTCTCATCTTGGTCCGCCTTTAGCGTCTCCACGACCTGCTGGCGCTGGTCCAGCTTGTCCTGCAACTCCATCTCCCACGTCTCGATCTGCTTCCTCTGCCTTCGTCGTAGGATGCCCTTGTCTAGCTCTTGCACCTCCGCGGTCCAGGTGTCGATCTCATCTGTCGTAACTGATGGTGCTGTTTTGATTGTTTCCTTCTTCGGCCAGTCCTTGAGTGAGATCGTTCGGCGCCCCTTCTCGGTCTTGTTGAGCGGCACCCCGTGCATGTTGATTGCCTTGAAATCCGCCTTCCGCTCCTTCCCGTACACCGCTGTGTCTTGCTCTTCCAACTTGTGGGTGCTCAGCAGTATCGGCGTCTTCGATTTCGGCAACCTCTTGAATCGTAGATTCACGCCGGCTCCTGTAAGTCCAGCTGTCGCCTCCTGCTCGCCTTCTGCCGTGGCAGGGGCGCTATCATTCACGCCCCGGAAGCGCATGGATGAGCCCCTCATCCTCGTGCTGTCCCTGCTGTCCTCCGCGTAGCCGTCCAATGCTAGTGAACCTCCGCGCCATCGTAGGCACGCCGTGTCCAGTACAACATGTCCATCTGGAATAAGTCCTTTCCTTACCGCGTAGGCCTATCTCCTCCAGCTCCTCGTAGTTCACCTGCAGGCCAGGTGATAGTGCGCGATCTTCTGTAGGCCTGTAGTCCGTGCCTGTCCCGCGTTCCGTCCACAGCCATGTCGGTCGCACTCCAGGAGGTAGGCGCTCGCAAGGGCTCCTTGCGATGTCTCGTAGTTCCGCGGTACTGTCCCAGGATGCTTGGCACAGATCGTACGCTAAATTCCTGAGCCCCTGTGGTGCCATCTCAATCGTGATGTGCATGAGCTGGTTGATCTGGTGCAGTGCCCAGTCCGCGCCCCAATCCACGTAATCCCTGTAGGCTGCTTCCATGTTCTCACAGATGACCCATGATGCTGCAATATGTGCTGCTCGATCTTTGATCTTCTGCAGGTCTGCCGCTGCGTTATCTTCCTCATGGTTTTCCGTGCTCGATCTGCTGGGCCATATCTGTCCTGATCCAGATCCTGGCGTTTGGTCATCACTTCCTTCGGGTTCTCGTTCTTGATGTTCCTCTCGCATGCTGTGGGTCGGTTCGCTTCTCCAGGCCGCTCTCGTGTACCTTGATCGCCTCCAAGTGCTAATGCCATCCAGGTGTTCACGATCTGCTCGTCGGTGTCGATCCTCCTGTTCGTCAGACTCGTGAGATCTCCTCCGTCGTGGTCTCCATGTTCACCAGCTGGTCATTCACGATCTGGATGGCCGCCATGTCCACTGAGCTGTCCGCCACCAGTAGCTTCTCCGCCGTTGCCATCGCAAACCCAGCCCCGTCGCAGAAAAACCTCCAGGTCGTCCGTGAAAGCCTCGGCCGCCACCTCGTCCTCCACGCTGCAAGCTGCTCGATGATCCGCCACCTAACGGCCTTGTCTTCTCGCGCCCCGGGTCGCCTTTCCAGTGGCCCTTCTTGTGGCATGCGTTGCACTTCGTGCGAGCCTTTATCTTATTGAGCTTTCTTCAGCTTCCTTGCCGTCCATCTTGATGGATCCCTGCTTGTTGATGTTGGCCTTCCAACCTCGATTGGACATGCTCTGTGCAAGCCTCTCCCGGGCCTGCATGTAATTAGGCTTCTGACCTTTCCGTTCAGCCTTCCACCCGAGACGCTGTGCCTCAGCCGCTAGAGTGTCGCACTCCTCCTGGCTGACCTCCTCGGGGTCGACGTCGCCAATCACCCCTTCGAGCTCGTCGATGTCGGCTGCCAGTGCGTCGTAATCTTCATCGCTTAGAAGCCCGCCCTCGTCGCGCGCGCCACGCTCGTGCCCGAGTAGGGCTGTCTCCTCGTCATCGTCGTTGTCCACCGGGTATGCTCCACAACGTCCGTGACCACGTTCGTCTCTACACGTCGCGTCCAGCTGGATGAGCATCGCCGCCGTCGCGTAGTTCCAGATGTACTCGTTGTTGCACTGCCCGAGAATAGCCTTATGCTCGGCCATGCTGATATTGGCAAACTTTAGTAGGAAGCACGTCCGCAGGTCCTCGCTCGCCGTCGAGTTTGCCGAGGGAGACTCGAGCCGCTCGTACTTCGTCGCCCGCCTCGATGCGTAGTCCTGCGCTGACTCAGATCTGCTGCGAAAGCCTTCGAATAAATGCTCTTCGAATGCTTGCTGCTGTTGCAGCGGCGCGGTCCATTCGCAGGCTTGTCGCGCCGTGGCCACTGCCGACTTTAAGGCAGCAGGAGGGTCCTCACTTGCTTTGTCCAACGCTGCTTGCATCGCCATCTCTGGCCTCTTCCTCGCGAGGTTCCACGCTCGCCCATGATCGCGTGGAGCTTCTGCAGCTTCTCCTCGCTCGCATAGTGGCCGAGTGTTGCGCGCTCCTCGAACCCCTCGCCGTGGGCTGGGTCGCCGTTGTAGTGCGCGACGCCGTCCATGTCCACAAAGAGGGGTCCTTCGTTGGGGTGTTGTTGCCTGGTCGCCATCTTGTCTTTGCTGATGGTGATGCCGTCTGTGATGATGGCGCTGCCGTCCAGCTCTCTGCCGCCCAGCTCGTTGTAGATGTCGTTGTCGCTGCTGCTGTCTGGGTCGCGGCAGCGGTTCTCGGCCAGGCTGCAAGTGATGATGTTCAGCGGGTTGACCGCTGAAAGAAGTGCGCAGTGGTAAAACGCTGCGAGAGTCTTGGGCGCCGGCATGCATGTCTGCGCGGCCACTCGCAATGTGCATCTCGCAGCCGTAGAACTGACTCAGCTCCGGGCTACCAGTGTAAATGTCGATCGCGATATCCTTCCCGCCAAGCACTTGATGCAAGCAAAAGATAAGAGAAACAAGATCAATGTATCTCCTTGCTCAAAGCGAACGCGAGTGGGCGCGCCCACCTCCCCGCCCGGCCGGTGAGCCATGACAGCCGCGGGCGAGAGGGACAAGCGACTATCATTCTCATTATCGCCCTAAATCTCACATCCTTGCCTGCGTGATTTTCACGCCGGGGCCCAGCGGCGGGCCCCTGTGAGGCCGAAATCCGACGGAGACGTCTGGGCTGACAAATTCAGATTGTCGGAAATATGGGCCCCCTCCTGATCCCTACAGGGTCCTGACTCAGCGTCCAGATCGTAAGAGCGCTCGGGCCTCTCGCCGCGATGAACAGCGGCGGTGCGTGCGCGGCCTCCCTGGACTGGCCCGAGATGGACCGGGCCAACCTTCGCTGTAGTTGTTTCTTCCTCCCAACGTTCATTCGCAGCCATCGTTCTGCCATAAGGAACGCCGAATAAGGAGCGGAAGGGATTTTCTGGCCACGGCGAGCCTCGGGCCACGAACGAATTCCCCAAACTTGATTTACGGAACGGCCCGGCCCTTCCTTGCCCCCAAGGCTTCCTTGTTCTCAACCCATGACTGCTGGTGCTATACCACTATATCAAAGCCAATGTAAACGACCTGCTCCCCACCATGATGGCTCCCAGGTCCATGTGCCCCGAAGCCATGCGAGGTCGCCGCGCCGAGCTTGGTCATGGGTCGCGAACGAGCGCGCGACAATCCTCCGACACTTCGAAGCGTTACTCAAACACTGTTGGATATGCGCCAACAGGCGTCATCCTCAAGAAGAGCACTTCGCGTGGGTGCACAGCGGCAGAGTACTCATCCAGGAGAACTCCAATGTCAACCTTTTTCCAGATGTCGCGCGTCTGAAGCCTGGCCGCTGGCGAAGAAGCGCGTCCCAGGGAATCGAAGCCAATGGGCATCTCCAGCTTTATACGTTTGAGACTGACCATCGCTGGCTTCTCGGCGACGTTGAGAAGCGCTGCCGTGAACGCTCCCACTGTAGAGAAGGAAAACACATGCATAAACAGAAACTTTCTGAGGCCCGCGCGGATGTCTGGGATCGGCGTCAGGGGCGGAGCCGGAGGCGCCGACACATGCACCTAATGCCGATCCAAGAAATCTGCGTGGATCTCTGGAACTTCATTTTCATGCGTCTTTTGCGTCGTCGATGCCTCCAGTGGCCCCGCCCAGACAGACTGAAGGGGAATATTAGGAAACCACTTGTCATTCGGATGGATGTCGGTATTGCTTCTCCACGCGACGTGCGCATGGAGCCCTAGCGCATCTTACTTAGCTTTTGGTCCAGATCTCCAACGCTTGTTTGGGAATATTAGTAATGCCAGCGCGGATGATGAGCGGTGCCTTCATAGCGCGCCGCAGGCTGAAGTGAGAACGCGCACCTGTAACATCGCCCAGTGCAACATTATTTCCCACTTCGAACATGTCAGGGTCCTTGAACCGACCTGGCCGTGCCAGCGAAGCATATTCTTCGTTGAGGAACGCTCGGAACATTAGGCTGGTCATGATACTGACGGCGTCGTCGCCAGTTGTGCGCCAACTATTGGCAACATTGCCAGCGTGCCTCGCACCACTCGTGCTGAAGCCATTCACTGCGATTTGGAAGTGACGCTCAGAAACATTCGGCGCATTTCGCATAGCTGGGTACGAACGCTGCTCCTGACCGCAACCGTCGAATTTGAGGTAAGCAACACCAAATTCAACGTGCCTTAGGGATGAAACGCCAAAACCTGAATGCCGCCGTCCCCCCACAGGTGGTGTCGTCCTCCCCCCCTTTTCCGCCGTCCTGCGTCGTTCCTTTGCCTGCTCAGCCCTCCGCTCGTCCCTCGGGCTGTCGCACGGGTCTCGCCCTCCTCCCTGCTTCTCGGCTGTCGTTCCCGGTCGCTCGCCCTCTTCTTTCCCCCGGCTCCGGGTTCTTCCTGGTCCCCGGGTGTCGTCCACTCCTCGGCCCCGTGATGCTGTTGCTCTCCAGGGTCGTCCACCTGGGGGCCTCCTGGCGAGAAGGGCTTGCACGAACAATTTTTTAGAGACCACCTGCCCGTGGAACTGGCGATGCCGGGTGGCTTCATAGTTTCACAGCGCCTGGCGGCGGTAGCGTCGGCGCTTACTTTTCCTGCCCATGCACCTCTGACGTGCACGGCGTTTTCTGTCTCTCTCTCTCGCTCTCTCTCTCTCTCTCTCTCTCTCTGCGTCCACGACCTCGTTGTCGAGAGAGCCGTCATTGGCGCCAGAGTAGAACTGAGAGCAGCATTGAGATTCCGACGCTAAGGAGTAAATGCAGAACTTCAAGCCTTTGGAATGGATGAAGTCGCCCAGTGCTTTCATACCTGGAGGATGTCTTGTTGACAACTTGTTTCCCAATTGCGGCGTCTCTGAAACCAGTCGTCCAACCACAATCAAGATTGACGTACTCATACCCGGCGTCGGCCAACCGTGTAGAAACCATTGCATCCGCAACTTGACGAATGACACTGTCATTGAAGCCGTGTGCCCAACTCACATTGAACTTGTAGCCTCTCTTGTTATTTTACGCCGAAACAATTCCACGGGTTGAAGCCCATGGCTGGTTTGTGGAAGCCACTGTCAAGCGCAAACAAAAGATGAGGCAAGGCCAGCGCAAATGAAAGCTGGTGTAACCATGATGCCATTTGGCTTGGGGTGTGACGTGCTGTGGCGCTAACTGGTAAGCACAAGGAGGCCACCTCACCACAACACACTCAAACTTTTGAGCCGCCCCACTTGAGACCAAGGCGACGAACCCCTGTTTTCAACATCTGCTTTAGGAGGAGAAGTGAAGAACCGACAACGAGATCATGAACTGGGCCAAATTTGGCGTCCGTGCGTATCTCGCGCCCCCTGCCTTACTCACCGCGATCCTGTCCCCTTGAGCATTTGGACGCCGAAATGGGTACGGAAAAAATGGGTGCGATGCCCAGCAACAAATGCTGTCCAACATCGACAGCGGCCGCCGTTGGCCAAGCGGCCTTCTGTCCCAAATGAACAACTACCGCTGCGACGCCGACAGCGAACCCTGTTCAGAATGAACAGCAGATGCTGTCGGTCTTCGTGCCCATTCTTTCCGTACAGTCCAGAAGAATATCCCTCCCAAATCTGAGACCCTCCGTCGGCCGAACAGGAAATCCAAAGGTACCCTCCCCAGGATGCACAAGAACATCCAACAAACACGAAGAACACTAGGGTAGCCTCCTCGAACCGACTGTACCCAGGAAGCGCCACAATCGAGGAGAGCAGCAGAGGAGTAACCCCGCTGCTCACGTTGCGGCATGCTGAGCCCGAGCTGGCGGGGGGGCTGTGCCCTCCGCCGTTCGGGCCGGCGTGGGCGGCCCACGGAGACTCCGCAGCGGGGGCTCCGAGGTCCGCGAGTGATGTGAGGGACTGGCCAACGAGCCGCTTCTTGGCCTCGGTCCGACTGTACCCATTTCGATTGTCCCGACGGCAGCCCCGGGCCCGCCAGATGCGGAACGCCCCCTGGGTTCGTGGGCGGTGGGCGCGCCGAAGGGTCCGACGTGCGGAGGCCGCCCGCGAGAACCGGCCCCGAAGCTCAAGGTGTGTGGGGCGAGCGACGCACGATGATCGAGTCCTCCCCCTCCGCCTCCGCACGAGAGGTCTGATAGGTGTAGCGCGTCTGCAGAATCCCACAAGCTCGCGACAATGCCGTCTGTAAGAGGGCGCAGCCGGTCAGGAACAAAACAAGCAACACGCTGCGCGGAAAATATGGGAACGCTCACACCTTCGTGACTCCTTTCTGTTGGCTGGTCAGCACGCCTGTATGGCCGCGCCCATTTTGTGGCGTTGCCAACTTGCGGCGATCGCACACCCGTGTTGTCGGGCATGCTGCGTGACCCTTCTCGGGAGCCCTCGGGGGGAGCCCTCGGGAGCCCAGCGGGACTGTGTCCCCGTGTTGACCATTACCGCTGCTCCAGTACATAGCCCTTGTGACGCGAACAACATGGACGGCGCCAGTTCTAGAAGGACCGCTACTGGTATGAGTGTTTCAAGCCGCATCGCGATCGCAATTGAGATGATTCTACAGGCTCTAGGACTCGGTATTGCCACGCACTCTGCAGCTGTCTCCGTGTCGGCCGCGCTACCCCTGAGATCCGACGTCGCGAACCAATTGCAACATTGTGGGGGATCGCAACCAGAGCCCTCGACCCCATCCTCCTGCAACATCTTTCGAATCGGATCGATCTGAAAGGGTCGCAGGGCCCGAAACAGGGGGGAAACACCACGTGTGGCAAGATTGCGCGGCCCGGATCTCAGGGACTGCCGAGCGAGATCGCAGGCGGCCGCAGCTCGGCAGCAGCGGTGCCCCTTGCCGGTGCAGCGCCCCCCCCCCCCCCCGGGTAGTGCCCTGCAGCGGCGTCGGCGGCGCCGCTCGTGGCGCCCCAGGCCTGGGGTCGAGAGGGCGGGAGCGGTCGGGGCGCACTGCTCGTGCCAATGATCCCAGAAGATGCCTCCCTGTAGGAGCAAGAGACGACATACGGACATCTTGCTGACACGAGGAGCGCTGAATAAGGAGCGAATGTGGCTATCCTGGCCAAGGCGAGCCTGGTTCCCCGACCAAGGAACGGTCGAAAACTGGAGGCCCTGCTGAGCCCAAAGTGATCCTTAATATTGCGGCGCCTTGACTTTAGACTTTTGGAGGCCCCGGCGGATGACGGGAAGCGTCTTCGAGGTACGAGAAGCAAGCGGGACGTTCTGGCTGAATCCTTGAGTATATATCTATATATATATATCTTTATATCTATGGGTTGCCGCGCCGCACGGGATTTTTCGTTGGCGGATAACGGGAAGCGTCTTCGAGGTACGAGAAGCAAGCGGGACGTTCTGGCTGAATCCTTGAGTAAATATATATATATATATATATATATATATATATATATCTTTATATCTATGGGTTGCCGCGCTGCACGGGATTTTTCGTTGGCGGATTCCCCAAAATGGCCATTTCGCTCGAGACATCCTCAAAAAATCGAGGTGTGGTCTGCCGTGCTCCTGTGTGGTCTGCCGTGCTCCTGTGGTCTGCCGTGCTCCCCACAGGAGCACGGCAGACCGCGCGCAGGAACCGAGAGGAGCACGGCAGACCAAGACGAGGAGCACGGCAGACCAGGCACTGAAACCGAGAGGAGCACGGCAGACCAAGACGAGGAGCACGGCAGACCAGGCACCAAGAGCGCCCTCAAGACGACGGAAAGGATGACCAAGACGAGGAGCACGGCAGACCAAGACGAGGAGCACGGCAGACTATGCCCTAAGAGTGCCCTCAAGACGGCCGAACAATCATCAAACAAACAATGAGTCTAACGTCGTCTTGGAATCGTTTTTGAGGGCATCAGTACGGCCCCCCAAAAACAAAATCGGCCCAAAGATGACCCGCAGAGTGCCCTCAATACGGCCGACCATGACGATTTCGCTGGGGACGTGTTCAATAAATTAAGAGTGTATCAGCACCGTCTGCTGCAACAACGCTGTGCTGGTCTGCCGTTCTCCTGTGGTCAGCTGTGCTGCTCTGCCGTGCTCCTGCGGTCTGCCGTTCTGGTCTGCCGTTCTGGTCTGCCGTGCTCCTGTGGTCTGCCTTCCTGGTCTGCCGTGCTGCTGCCGTCTGTCGTGTTGCTGCGCTGTGCCGTGTAAGCTGATAAACCGGTCAGACCGATGAAGAAAACGAGAGTCGGGTTACAACGGCTACGCAGATTTAAACTGCTAGTCCAAAGGCTCTCCAGAGGACCCCAACATCTCCCAAGCACACCCCGAGAAGTCCATCATCATCATCATCCTCATCATCATCATCATCATCACCATCATCATCACCATACTCATACTCATACTCATCATCATCATCATCCTCCTCCTCATCATCATCATTATCATCATCGTACGCATCACCATCACCATCAGCAGCAACATGATC